TATGTTAATACTTACCTGTAGTAATCATTTCACTATGTATTGGTATGTCAAAACATCATGTTGTACCTATTAAATATATGCAATTTTTTAAAAGTCCATGGAGGCAAGATTAAAATGCAATGACTTAGAAATTTATTCCTTTAATCGTTGCCAACTTTCTTGTAACTGCCTGCCAGTCTCCACAATTAGTGTTTTCATTTTAGATAGGCAAGAATTAATATAGCATATAATGAAGAAATAATTTGCATTATTAATTAGAAGTTCTAGTTAGCTCTGTCAATTACTTACTATGTGACTTTTTCCAAATTAGGATAATATGTCATCAAATGTTATCAAATGTTAAACCTGCCTTTAGTGTAATACAAGTGAGAATTGCAGTAGTTAAGAACTAGAACTCTAAAGTCAAACAGAACTAAGTTTGCATCCCAGTTATACCATTTACTACAAGAGTGAGCTTCAGACAGTTTATTTCATCCACTCCAAGACTCAATTTCCTCAGGAATAGCCAATACTACAGTACTGATTTTATGGGATTATTTCGACGACTAAATGAAATAATGGATATAGAGTATTTGCCATAGTTCATGGTCTTAATGTGCATGCACACATATACACACACACATACGCACACACACACATGTTCTTTAGGTATTTTTAGGTTACAAACTCAAAGAGTTTTAATAATTAAGTTAAATAAGATGGTATGTGTCAATCACCAGCAAAGAGAAAAACATTCAGCACATGGTGATATGAGATTCTCAGGAAATAAGTCACATTAAATAATACATAAAACAATAAAGGAAGAGGAAGAAGAGAGGAAAGGAGAAGAGAACAAAAAGAAGGTAAGGAATGGAAGGAAGAAAGGAAGAGAAGAAGAAAGGAGGGAAAGGGAAAGAAGTTTATCATCACATTTCAAATGTGAAAAATGTCAAATTAACATTAAACCTCTATCATACTTTCATTTTGTTCACTTTTAATTTCTTTCCCCTTTATCATTTCTTGCACATTTGTTGCTTAATGTATTTCAATTAAAAGTATTACTGTGTTATCATGACCTTTAAGGAACCAACACTTTGATAAAAGGTCAAAGCAGAATAAAAAGTCAGAAAAATCATAATTAAAAACTTAGAATTAAAACTTGGAGTTATATTTTGAAAATCTAGTCATCAAAATAGGACTAAAGACCCTTGAAACATGGAGCTACAGTCCTAATGTTTAATATGCAAAATCAAATACCCAAAGGGCAGTGACACAATAGTGGCCTAAAGTTAAATGACTTATTTTTTCAACTGGGCCTTTTCTTTCATTAACTTAATAAATCTTGAGCTAGACACGTCAACTTCCTAAACTCAGGTTTCTTCATATGTTGTAATTTTATAACTCTATAAAATTATATAATAAATTACAGAATAATTATTATAAATATAATATATAATAATTATTATTATATTCTATAATAAATTATAGAATAATTTCTATAATTCTATGCTGTCCAGAAAGTATATAGCCATGTAACCATTCTCATTATATTAACAATGGCTGGATACTTTCTGGACAGCCCTCCTATATATCTATATATCCCTATATACATTTACATATATTCCTATATATACACAAATATATTCTTATATATACATATTCAGATATGTGTATATATATATGTATATATATGAACCTGTTAATAGGAACTCAACAGCAGCCCTCCATATCCACAGGTTTTACATTCACAGATTCAACCAACCTCAGATTAAAATTATTCAAAAAATAAATAAAAATTAACAATACAACAGCAAAGCATAATACAAATAAAAAAGAATACAGTATAACTGCTTATATGCATTTACATGTATTAGGCATGGTAAGCAATCTAGAGATGGTTTAAGCATACAAGAGTATAAGCATAGGTTATATGCAAATACTAGCCATTTTATATAGGCAACTTAAGCACAGATTTTGTTATCTATGAGGGGGCCATGGAACCAATTCCTCACAGATACTGAGAGATGACTTAACTTGTAGCCTGGCAATTCATTACATAAGCACATTAAATATCTAAAGGGTATCACAAAAAGTAAGAATAAAACATGATCCTTGCCTTCAGGAAGATTTCAAGTATCAATTTATTTCTCAAAGTTAACTTAACTTATAGTTCTAATATTTCTCTTAGTTAGCAAATGTCTCTAACAATTAGTTTTCTCAACCTGAATTTTCTATCTTGCCCACTTTCTTAAAATTCACTCCAAAATAATAATTTCCTAGATGCTATAAAAGTGCTATTTATTTTCAAATATCATACTCCATTTATTTTTTTCACCATGAGTTTTGAAACTAGAAACACCTAGGTTCAAATTGAAGGTTTGTCATTTACATACTAGGGAAACATGGGCAAGATGCTTACTTTTCCTGAACATCTATCACTTTATAAATTGGAGATACTGTTAGATTTTAGCACAGTGCATGGTTAGTAGTAGATGTAATGGTTACTCCATCAGTTATAGACATGTAGCAAGATACTTGTCTGGTCTCTCACACCTCTGCAGGATGATAAATATTCTTTGCCTTCACAACTTGCTCTGTCATTTGTAAACTATTCTACTGTAGTATTGAGGGAAACTCCTGTCAAATTAATCACTGTTCCAAACTAAAAGATACGGGAAAAACACATTCAGATTCTGCCTAATTATGTATTCTTCCAACATTTTCTATATTATATCTAAAGGCCAGCTTTTGAAATTAAAAGTCACAAATTTATTGCTAGAACACTCTCCAGGTTTGCCGCTGAAAAAAACGCCTATTAGGGAAATGGTAGTCGATGTGTCGCATGCATGATTGAAGAAGATCAGAGCATTAAAAAGAAGGTTCAAGGGCCAGGACGATATTAGATAAACATTCACATTATCATCTCTCTTCCCCAAAAGTTCATTGCTCTCTTGTTGAACCTTTCTTTAATCCAGATTTCTATCAGTCTCCTTTCATATTAAACAGAAATCCTATTAGAGCGTATGTTTAAATAGATATGTTTAGCACATTCTCACCCTTCCCAGAAGAAAAGCAAATTACACAGTTTGTGAGTAACATATACCAGCTTTTTGGTAATTTATTTAAATGCCAGCTTGGTTTGTAGAATTTTTAAAGAAACTATTGAAGTAAGAAAATAAAAGTAAAAATTGTTTTCACTATCAAATGGATTTGACCACAGAAGATAAAAATGAAACCAGTAGAGGGTTTATTAATTAATGGTGCTCAGGATGGAGCACAACTCCGTTAGCCTGAAATGAGATCAGGACATTTTCCCTGAGACATGATCAAGTAACTTTTTGAATAAGGATAAAAGTGTTATTTTTCAATCAGCCTCATTTTGTAATTCTAGTAAAAGACTATTAAGTTTTACTCGTGATATTTTTAAACCTATTTAATAGTCCCAATACTAAGCTATGTTAAAGGCATAGTTTTACTAGGAATTCAAGTTGGGCTCAGAGGAGTATAATTTCCAGGGGCATATTTCATATACTTCATAAGTTATTTTATTCTTTTGGCCTCACTTTATTAGCCTTTTTAATAATATTGCAGTATTATACTACAAGGCTCACAGTAGATCCTAAGTCTTCTCACAAAGGCCCTGTGTTTGTATTTACTATGCTGTAACTCAAGGCGCCTAAAACATTTTAAGGATCCTGGTGATTCAAAGGACAATGTGAAAATTCCAAAGTTATTTGAGAAGGCCACCGATGTTACTATGCTGAAGAACAGTGTTTAGAAACAGACATTGTTGTACATTTATTTTAAAATGATTTTAAACCAGGCCCACAATTCCCTATCCACATTTCCAAATCCTCAAAGCCCTAAAAAACTGAAGAGTTTTCTTTTGCTTTTCTTTTAAATTTTGATTGTAAGTTTGGTGCCAAAACTCATTTAGCAGTGAAATTTAACACACTTGGAAGCGAGGCTGTTTATAATCTATTTATCTCACTTAGTGTGAGATAGTGTGAATATTCTTATGTTTTGCTGTGGACATATCAATGTAGCTAGAAAGTGCTGCCATACTAAGTGGTATATGTGTTATAATAAGGTAAAAGAATCTAATATTGTATAATATACATAAAGTATAACACACATGCATATTAGTTTGCTAGGACTATTATAACAAAATACCACAAACTGCATGTCTTAAAAACAGTAATTTATTTAGTCACATTTTTGGAGACTAGAACTCCAATACCAAAGCATTGGCAGGTTTGGTTTCTTCTGAGGCCTCTATCCTTGGTTTACAGATGTTTGCTTTCTCCTTCTGTCCTAACATGGTTTTTCCTGTGTTGATGTGCATTCTTGGTGTCTGTGTGATGCAATATCATTTATAATGACACCAATCATAATGGATTAGGGCCTCCCTTAACAGGGTTATTTTAACTTAATTACCTCTTCAAAGGTCGTGTTTCAAAGTATAATCACATTCTGAGGTACGAGGGTAATCACACTGAGGTACTTCAATATGTAATTTTAAATTTCAACATAAATTTTAAGAGGACACAAGCCTATAACAACATGTATAGTTTGGTTGAATTATCATGGACACACACACACACACACACACACAATTATCAGCACCACAGATGTCCCTCATGTGTCCTTGTAGTCACTACCCTCACATCACTAAGGGTAATCTACATTGATTTCTATGAGCATCAATTAGATATTGTATGTTCATATTTTATACTACTTGAATAATATATTATTCTATCATTGAGCTTCACCTATAATGATTTGTATTGTTGTAGATAATTCATTCAAATTGTTATGTAATAATCTATTATGTCAATAAATCAGTTCATCTGTTTTACCACTAATTGTCATTTGTGCAGTTTTCAGTTTTGAGCTATTACAATTTTGCTATGAACTTTTATATATATATATCTTTTAATGAGCATTAGCAAGAAATGGAATTGTTGGTCATAGGGTGTGCATATATTCAGTTTTAGTAAATCTGTTATACTGTGTTTCAGAGTGGCCAGATCATTGTATGTTCATAATTTTATTGGACAATAAGGAGAATAAGAACCTTACAGAATGTATACATCTACCCCACAAAGCTCCTGAAGTAACTTCGGTAAGCAAATGGGAAGAAATCTTTTCTGTAACTGATCTCTCTTTTTCAAATGATATGTTTTGAAATATTTACTATGAATTAAATACACTATAATCAAGTTTTTATTTTATCCAAAATGTGTTCAATTCTTCCTGCACAGAATATCTGTTTTACTAAGAAAGATACTCTAATTTAGAATCAATATAGGAAATCAAACTTAGTACAGAGAAGGTATTAGAGAGGAAAGAGGAACCTCTAGAACATGTATTGATTTTAAGATGTGACACATATATCAAGGAAGAATGCAAAGTATTAATATCACTCTACTAATGCTAAGGAGGCAAGGATAAAAGTAGACATGACTGTGTTTCATAACCACTTTCTTCAGCTGACAAGCACAATGGAAATTGATTTTAAATTGCCATATTAAAAATGGAAATAAGAACCTCAGAACTCAACGAGCCATTATTAGACCAGGTAACCGAATGCCAAGGAAAGTTTTGAGCTAAGCTAATCTTCTAGGAAAAATAATCTTTTATTTTTAAAAAAGGATGTGATGATGCCTTAGTAACTCAAATATATTAGTACCTTCTAATCTATGAAGAGTGGTTATGAAAATGAGTATGCTATTTATTCTCCATTTGCTTACAACTCATTCCCTAAACTTTTCCAAACCTAATCTGCATTGATAGGAGCTGAATCCTTTAAATTACTCTTCTAAGGATTCCTTGTCAAAGCAATCTCATTGGGTTCAGTCGGGAGAAACACAATCAGGAGTTTGGAGGGTTTATAGAAGGGAAATTACCAGCACTTAAACTTTCTGTTTTTCCTCTAATGTTCCAATTCCCATGAGGCAGTCTCCATGATAGTTCCAATATCCACTGGTTGGTCCTCACTCTAGTAACACTTACTCTTCTCTTTGGTTACTCTGAATTCAAAGTGACCATGGTCTTCTGGTATTATTATTTTTGGTTGCTTTATCATTCCTTGTTTGGCTTTCTAGATCTTCTAAATGTCTTCTAACTATATAACTCTATTGTTCTACCTAGAATGGGCTTTGTTTCTCTAATTAAACCCTTATTAATCCCTTATTAATACAGTATTTAATACCAAGAATGGTTCCAAAAAAAAAACACAAAGACTTTCAAGACAGGATTCTAGAATTCTACTGCTATGTTCTATGACTTTGGTCACGTAACAGATTTTTTTGCTAAAGAAAAATGTGATGCTAATAATTTGTGGTATACAAATGCATCAGAATGACTCATAGTATCACATTTGGGATGAAGGCCAATGCAGGAAAGAGTTTTGAGTTGTCAAGTATTTGCTGGCTGCTTCTCACATTTGTGGAGAGCTTCAAAAGGATAATGATAGAGTTTTAAACTTTCATTTCAAGAAATCAGAGAATGAATGAATACTCGTTCCAGACTTAAAAAGTTTCTTAATTTTGGGTAACTATAAGGCAGACTTATTGTATAACTAAAATGTAACTCAAATGCATTAAAATATATATATATATATATATATATATATATATATATATAGTCTATTTTATGATTCAGGCATTTCCTTGGAGAGATTAGAACCCTAAGACTGAAATAAGAAAAATTAAGACAAATTAATCTAAAATAACTTAAACCTTTAAATTCTGCTGAACCTTGCTCACTAGCAGAAGTACCCTTCATTTACTGTCTGAGGAAACAAACTTCCTTTCTTGAGGACTCTGTAATAAGTTAAGATAATAAGTTGAGATATGTGTTTGCAAGGACATATAAGGACATATATCTCTGTAATATGCATGGACATATATCTCTGTAATAAATTGAGATATGTGTTTGCAAGGACATATCTATCATACTCAACTCTACCACCCTTTCTTGCCTCAAGACTGGTAGTTAGAGGAATGTTGAAATGGAAAACCCATTAATCCACCTCATAATTATGTCCTTGAGAAAGCCCCAACAACACCTCTTCACTTATCAATGAAAAAATTATTGGTTAAAGTAACAACAGCTTCCTTGGAAACCTTGTACTAGCTGTCTGCAGTGAGCTGAAGTGATGATGCATGATGCCCAAGTTGAAATAGTGTCCAATGGGAACTGGTATTCCAGAGTAGCAGAGGTCAAATAGGAGTATTTAACCAGCATAGACCACAATGTAGATGCAATTATAACAATGGGCATTAGTAATGAAGCGGCAATCAGAGTAAATCGACCCTTACAGATCTGTGATGGTGAAATAATGACCATAATGACCATGTTGTCCTTAAAAATAAAAGGCTACCTACTAAAGTATTAATTAATACTAGGTTCACTGAGCATGACCTTCCTTTAGTCATCATGACAGAATAAGTCACACACTGTTATTCCATTCTCACACTTAGGCTTATTTAGGCATTTTAAATGAAAAAGAGGACAGTTTCTCTTGAGAAAAAATTTCCAGTAATGCCATCACAATTTTATACTAAAATTTCCCACAAGTATTCCCCAAAATGATCTGCATTAATTTTCTAGGGGGCTGAGGAAAGAATATACACAGACATTTGGGGAATTTTTAGTCACTGGCTCTGAATTAGCACTAATAAAGGCAACACAAAAATTCACTTTTTTAGTGGATGTTTATTACAAAATTAATAAATGTAATTTTCACCCAAATCTATATCCCCATGGGTCAGTGAATCTTCAGACCCATCCTATAGTTTCACTACCAGTTCCTAAAAGCATAGTTTAATAGGTATGTTCAGCAATTTGGAAAATCCCAGTATTGACTTCCTGACCTATGAACTACATGTTATTTTGACAGGAAGGGCCAAAGGAAATCCTCCCAAAGACTATTCCTTCAATAGACCAAAAGCCATATTGTATCTCTCAGGGAACTGATGAGATGAGTGTGATCTTTAAAGTGTTAAAAAAAGAAAAAAAGAAAAAAAGAAAAAAGAAAAAAAAAGAAATGACCTCAGAAAAAGCCAAAGGGATATTGGACAGTGACTGAATTTTCTTAAACTTAATTTGGAGATAACTTTATCTGTAGCTGCTCTCCCGGATATGAGCTCTTTGCCAAAAAAATGAAATTAGATATTAAGCATCTGGTATGCATCTATTGATCTGTCAGAGTTTTTATTATGATTTCTTTGTTCATTTGTTTTTTTGTATCAATTAGTATGGAAACATAGAAGTCTCCTTTAAGCTGGCACAGGCAGCAGCATATCTGTACTGTTTTATTGCATCACTATGGCAGATGATTTTAAAACAACATCATATAGTTCACAAACCTTTTAATTACTTTAACATGCCACAAAAAAAAAAAATCACTGATTCAAACTAGCGAATAATAACAAGTACTCTGTATGCCTTAAAAAAAAATAATAATAATAATGCACATCTGAACGTGAAAAACACCATGAAAATTCAGGATAAAAAGCTGTAGGATAACCATATACCCGGGACACCCAGGATATGCTCCTAAAGGCAGAGAGAATATGCTCCTCTATGCTCTGACCACCATGACACAATGCGTGGTGGAATTCTTTGGGTTTGTGATAACTTATTTGGGTGTTCTCGTTTGACCCACTTTTTTAGGCACGTTTGTTAGTTTTGAAGGAGCAGAATGCAAGAAAAGGCTCAAAGGCAGGATTAGGCTGCAATGTCAGCTGGCTGACGACTCAGACTTTGACTCAGTGGAGGCTATGATAGCAAATATGGATACTGAAATGGAGCCTCTGTGAGCCACACTATATGATTATATGCAATTTCATTAGTTTGTGGATCAAAGCCTCTTTTGATGATAACTATTTTGTTCTTTTGAACTACATTTTGGCTGGAAATGTCACCTTAGACAGCTGTATTAGTCTGTTTTGCTTTGCTATAAAGCAATACCTAAGAGTAGGTAATTCATAAAGAAAGGAGTTCATTTGGCTCATGATTCTGCAGGCTATAAAGATGCCTGGCACTAATCCCTGCTTGGCTTCTGGTGAGGGCCTCAGGAAGTTTTTATTTATGACAAAAGCAAGAGGGATCAATGTATAACATGGCAAGAGAGAGAGTGAGACAGAAGGAGGGGTGCCATACTCTTTTAAACAACCAGCTCTCCAGTGAACTAATAGAGTAAGAATTTACTCATTACCAGGAGAACAGCACCAAGCCAATCATGAAGGATCCATCTCCATAACTGAAACACTTTTCCCCAGGCCCTACCTTCAACAGTGGGGATCAAATTTTAACCTGAGATTTGAAGACAAACATTTCAAACTATATCAACAGCTAAAAGTTTAATCATGATTTTCTTGAGTGCTAGCTGATATATCAAGCCATAAGATTTGACATGCACAGCAGCAATCCATCTTCTAAGAGGAATAATTTTTCAACTGGGTTTGAGCTGGTCCAGAAGACAGAGGTAAATTATGTGAGCATATGGCATAGACTTATGTGGTACCTCCTCCTACCATACTGCTTCCCCTTCCTCAGTCCATATACCTGGACTTATTGGGAGTTACTATAATCAGCTTTCAGAAGAAGATACTTGGTCCTGGTTTATAGATAAATATTTTAAGGTGTGTTTACTTTAGCAAGATATATAATGCAGGCCATTTTAACCCAAGAAAAGGATAGGCCTGAAAGATCTGTAAAATGAAATCTGCCCACTGGGCAGAATTTTTAATATTACATCTGGTTGTCTACTTTGCTTGGAAGAAGAGACGACTTACAGTAGTTAGACACTGATTAATAAGCAGTGGCTAATAATTTCGCCAGGTTATCAGAGACTTATAAGGAAAAAAATTCAATGTTTAATGATGGATCAGGGAAAGAGGTACATGTATGGGCTTCTTCAAATGTGCACAAGTATGAGGATATTTGTGTCCCATAAAAATCCTACCAAAATGCAATCTTTGTTAAGAAGTCTGTCTCAACAACCTGAAAAACAATATAATCTTTCTTTACATCAACTGGCCACTTTCCTCATCTATACATATCCTTGCTTAATGGAACAATAAACAAAGTAAACATGATAGCAAGTATGAAGAT